CCTGAATAAAAAATACTATCACTGTGAGTGCCTCCAATTTACCCCAAAATCCTCTTAGCCGCCTGCAAATATGACTGACTTGGATATCCCATGAATCTGCTAATTAATCAACCCAACCGCAAAATTGGTCTCTGGTCTCATAGATGTCAGATACCTCAAGCTCCCCACCAAACTTTTAAAATAGGTAGGATTCACATATCCACCAACATTCTTCTTGGTCAAGCTCATGGAGTTAGAATTGGCTTAACCGCATCCAACTTGATATCACTTGCATATTTCTTTTGAGAAATAAAAACCCCACTATTAGATTGAAAAACTTCAATTCCTTTGAAATATGACATAAGTCCCATGTATGTCAAATTCCTTAATCATGGACGTCCTGAACTTTGCAATCATTTTCAGATTATTTTTTTAAAATCATAGCATTTACATATAAGCACATAATAAGAATATCACCACCGTAGAAGATTGAATATATAAAATGTGCTCATATAGATATTGCCGAAAATCACGAGCAAGAAAATAAGAGTCAATCCTCGTATACCACTGGATTTAAACTTTGTCTTGTACACCTACTTCACTCTAATGATTTTTTTACCAGTTGAAAGAAAAGTAAGTTTTCAAGTATCATTCTTCTTAATTACATGAATTTCTTTCTCCATTGCTTTCATCCAACGATCATCATGGGCTACCTCCTCATACATCATAGGATCACAATTTGCAAACAAAGCAAAATTAACAATATTTTCGTCAGAAGCAATATCATTTGATATAATCACATAATCTTACAAATGAGCTGGCATCTGTAGTTGATGCTGTGGATGCCCAATTAATTCAGTCTTTGGACCCTAAGCAACTGGTAATGGCTAAATATCATTATTAACCTCCTCTTACTGATAATTTAGTGCCACCTCTGCTATATTAGAATTTTCAGTAGACTAGTTCCAAACATCTCTTTCGTCAAAGGCCACATCTTTACTCACCATCACCTTTTCTGTCACAAGATTATATAACTTATAAGCTCGGAAAACTTCACTGTAGCCAATAAATACACACTTCTTCCCCTTGTCATCAAGTTTTTTCCTTAATTGATCAGGAACAAGGGAATAGATAATACACCCAAAAACTTCGAGATGGCCAACAAAAGGTCTTCTACCATTCCAAACTTCTTCAGGAGTTTTTGCGAGAACACTTCTGAAAGTTCACATGTTCAACAAATAAATTGTACCAAAAACTTCCTCTACCCAAAAAGAGTTTGGCATATTTTTCAGTTTCAACATAGACTTCACCATATTTGTAATAGTTCTATTCTTTCTCTTTGTCACTCCATTTGTTGTGAAGTGTACCTAATAGTCAACTGATGCTATATTCCATTTTTCTCAAGAAAATCATCACATACCAAATATTCTTGATCCCTATCAGTTCTCAAAATTTTAATCTACTAGCCACTTTGCATCTCATCGAAAGTCTTAAAAATTTTAAAAGTGTCATAGGCATCAGATTTTTGTTTCAAAAAATTACACCCAAGCTTTTCTACTGAAATCATCAATAAAGGTAATAAAATACCTACAACCACCATTAGAAGGAACTTTCACAGTGCACAAATATGAATGAATAATTTTCATTGGTCTTCTAACCCTTTAGGATTTGCCTGTCTGAAAGACAACCCTGTGTTGTTTTTTCAAAACACACATATTACAAACTTTACCAGAATTTCTAATACTAGGTAGCCTACTAATCATTTTTCTATTAGCCAAAATTCTCAAACTGTCAAAACCAAGTATTGTCATCTATCATCGTACTTAAACAAGAAAAATTAGTAGTACTCAATTTAAGTAAAAATAAGCGATTTGAATTCATTGACACACTAGAAATCATTTTAATATTTTTATTAAGAATGGTACAAGTACCATTCTTAATACGAATATCATATTTTTTTTCTTGGACAATTGATCCTACTCAACAAATTTTGATGCTGCTCACGAACATAGAAAACATCAAAAATAAAATTAGTAGACCCATTTTTTAAGCTGATAGGAATTTTTTTCTTTGCCAAACACTAGTAAAATAATGTTATTTCCAAATTTAATTTCACCATTGACAGATTCATCAATCTCAAAAGATAATTCTTTCTTGCCAGACATATGATTACTATAACCCATATTTAAATCCCACTTTTTTTTATCAACCACATCAACGGTATTACAAGTTAATAATAAAGTTTTAGATTTTTTATTATTATCCTAAACCTGATTGTCAGTAACATTAATCTAAAAATTTTTGTCTATAATTTTTCAAAATCTATATTTAAACTGTCTATGGCTAAATTTTTCACAATTATAACATTAAATTCTCTATCCAAGATTATTTTAAAAATTATATTGATTAAAATTATTTTCTTTGCCAAAATTACCACCTCTGTCTCTACCATGACCACTTTTAAAATTAAAATTATTACCTCTATCGCGTCCAAGATTTGATGTATCTCCTCTGCCTCTATTATTGTTGTCACGACCACCTCTGTTATTGTAGCCACCTCTATTATTGTAGCTTGGATTCATCTGACTGGATTCACTTTTCTCATTTGCTTCATTATTACCTCTCAAATGTAACTGCATTTGTAATACCTTCTCCAGGGCATTTTCCAACTTTTATTCATTCTTTGCTCACATAGAATTAATGATTTCTGCAATTCTTCAATACTTAAATTCTTGAAATCTTTTATCTCCTGAATCACAGCTACTATATGATTAAAATTCATGAATAGGGTGTTGAGAACTTTCACAATAAATGTTCTGGCAGGAATGTCATACTGATTAAGTGCGACCTCGTTTTTAATATCTGACAAACGAGAAAAATATGATTCAATAGACAAGTTCAAATTTCCTTTTTAACATCATCAAATTATTTTGTTGGACCCTGTTAATCCTTTTGTATGTCTTTTCCAATATATCCCAACTCTCCTTTGCTGAGTCAGCCATAGCAATTTTTTCAAAAATTGATATAGCAATTGCCTAATGAATTTGTGATAAGGCCAAACTATCTTTCGCCTTATCATCCTCACTAGCATCCTAAATAAGTGCAAATTCAATAGATCAATTAATTTACATGTCTTGAGATGGGTTATCATCTATTTTTGTCAAAAATTAAATTTTACCTTTGTTTTGAGTTTTTGGACAGAACAAACAATATTGGAATTAGGGTTTACCGTACTTCAATCTACCATAACTTTGATACCACTCTGATGGACTCAAAATAATAATCAAACATAAATCCATAGGAACAATCACAAAAAATTTGATATATGAGGCAAAGGAAATTTCTTGACTAATCAAACGAGGCTACGGCTACTGTACAATACAAGAAAAAGGAAACAACGAGGCTACTGGTTCTTCAAACGAAAACGGAGGCAACAATACTAATCCCTTACTGGCTCACTTCTATTACTAACATTATGGGCCAAATCCAATGTAGCCAACTTTACTAATTCACAATGCAACTTATTGTACTAACCAATATATTTAATGACACATGGCCTCAACTAGCATATAACCAAATAAACAAATTACTAAACTTGATTTATATTATCCGACAAAAACTCTATGTAAATAAAAGAGTTGTAAGTTGATTCCACCACTTAAATGTGTCAGACAACCAAACAGTGAATTTATTGCTTCGTCATTTGTCTTAGTTCAATAAGGATGGGCTTCTGCTAAAATTGCAGTCACTTCTCTTTCTATCTTAACTTCTCTCTATTTTTTCACCTCTTCTCAAAAAGCCTTCTTCGAGAGAAAGACCAATCCATGGATTTTGTTTTTTTTTTTTGTTTTCTAATAAAGTTTTTCCTAAATTTTCTTAGTAAGAATTTTCTATTTCTCCTAAAAATTTTTAGTGAGAATTTTCGATTCTTCTAAGGATTCCTATGAAGATTTTTGTATTTTTTCATTTTCTAGGGATTCCTTATTTCAATTTCATATTTTCCTTTGAGACCACATGATAGTGGTGCAACTTAATCTTTCCCAACATTAGTATCTTGGCAAAAAAAGGGTGCGTAATTCAATTTCAATTGGCCATGAAAGCTGAAAAATGGAAATGTGCAATCACCCTTAAAGAATACGCAACTGACCTTATTAGAAAAGGTAAAAGAAATAAACAATTAATCCATGATTCCTTCAAAATAAAAATCACAAGTATTTGTCGGCAAAACTGCACTCGGCTTTAAGGAATAATATGTATTTCGGCAACGAGTAATTGAACTGCACCCTTGTATGTAAGGATTTGCTTGTACGCCTTGTGGTTTGCAAATATCAATTGCACCATAAGAAAAATATCTTGCGATTAATAGACAGAGCCCCCCTTCGGCTGCAGGGAAAATTTTTCGGGGTGGTGCTGCCCGAGTTAGGAGTACCTTTGCCGGTGGCAAAAGGGGTGGAAGACGAAGGACTTGGATGCAAACCAATTCGCTTTCCATCACTTGTTCTTTCGATTGATTATTTTAACTGATTATAGATTTTGATTTTGAATAATCATTTTTTGTAATATTCTCGATTACTTTTGTCTTCTGATCATGAATTTTCTAATCACTAAAAAAGTTAAAATTCATAATCACCCAAAAGAGTAGTTTTTGCTTATCATTAATTTCTATAATCAGATTTTGTAAAGTCTAAAACAATCAAGAACAGTGCCATAGAAACTCAATTATTCAACTTCAATTTGTAAAGAAAACCGTGACATACAAACTAATGAAAAGGGCAAGTAGTACTTCTTCTTAATTTCTGCGTGTTCTATGCTTTAAGTTAAATTGAATTACAAGGGTGATAAATATCCAAAATAAGAAAAAGATGGACATCACTATTTGGATCTCTTCTCTTCTATAACGAGTAGTTTCTTAGTTTTCAAAGCTACTTTAACTGAACGTATTGGACCATTACTGGAGAAACTAATGAATATATGAACGTGACCTGTGTACAACTTGGCATAGTAAATCAATTAAAGCGAGATTTTTTTTTTCTTTTTTATTAGTATGAATATTTTCTGAACTCATTACGAAGCACAGTTTTGGCAGTAAAGGTGCTGCCATGCAACCAGATATGCATATTAAAATTCCTTCACCAATAACAAAATACTTGTCCTGAACCAACATAAACAGTTTGCAAACTTGCACACTGAAAACTCAAATGGATGCCAATATACTCAATATTCTTGCATACTTTTCCATTTTCAGGACAAAGTATTTATCAAAGAGAAAAATTTATGCAAATTTAATCCAAATGAAAGGGAATCAGCAAAGTAAATTAGCAAGAAGCCTCAAAGAGGGAGACTCAAACCTACCTAACTCCAAATTCCCCTGTCATTTAGTCATAATAGTTCTTTAATTTGGTATAACATATAGTTATAAGTATAATAGATCGATAGTCTATGTGATTTGACTGTCATAGCTATTGCTGATAGCATGAATAAACATCAATGAAACTTTTACAAATTAAAACAGTCTACAAGAGAAAAAAGGAAAAAATAAAAATAAAAAGCAGTACCAAAGTGAATCGTATGGTCAATAAGATGTACCCATGCCGAGATTTCATCCAGTTACCAACGTCAATTGGAATTTATGACCAAACTTCACAAAGTTTAAGTTTGGACCAAAGGAGAAATTTCATATTTTAGATAAAAGCTATCTCCTCTTCTAGGTTGAGAATATAAACCCCTAAACTTGATTTATATCACCATTAGGTGTACTTATGACGGACCAAACTACAAGAGCTCTTGTCAAAACACATTTTTATCCATTATAGATAGAAAAATGTGAACGCCAAATATTATCATGAATACTAATTTAGTAAAATAAGTAGTCTACGAGCTTCTGCATCGTACGAATTTACTAAATTACAATCAACACATGCACAATCTCTTCATGTATTTAATTTTCTACAAACAATTGAAATGTAGGTCTATACGGATTTACCATTATTTCATAAACAAAGATTTTAAATACAATACTACAATAATACACTCCCAAAACACCTAACCATCTACATTAAAAGTTTTTCACACTATCATAAAATTTTTGAAAAATATCCCCAAAACATCTAATCCATACATATATTTCCATTGCATGGGCTCATTTTTTTCTGGGCTTAACGAGGGTTGGATCACTCTCTGTCCAACTTTATTAGTAGGGGAATCAGGTCCAGTCCGCTTTTATTGGCCACTTTATTTTGGTGGGAGTGGGGGACGGCAACCGGAATAATAATGACACGGTCTTCCTGGTGCGGGCTGCAAGCAATGCGCGTAACTCCGACTGCTGCACATTGGACGCCTTGGCAATGGCACATGACCTATGGATCCACCGCCTCCATCTTTAGGAGCAGAGTTTGCAGGAAAAAAACTTAGGAGAGAATAAAACTTTTATTAAAACAATTTAGGGAAGAAGAAACTCTCACTAGGAGATTTTATTAGAGAAGAATCTATCATTAGAAAATTCTACAAAAGAATTTATTGCTACAATAGAAACTAAAAAAATTAAAGAGAGGACTCCCTTTTATGGAAAAAGACCAAATTTGTCTGATCTCTCTTCCATGAAAAAGGCAGAGAAGATTTAGAGAGAACGAGGAAAATAGTTCAATTTCCTTCTACTCTAATTCCCAAATCAACAACTTTCATGCATCAATGACTTGTACTATTATCATCATAGTTTATGGGAAGTGTATCCAATTTAGATGAATGTTTTCGATTAAAGCAAACTCACTGCTGAGCAATTTTTTTTTAAAAAAACTGTCAATAAGAAAGATGTATACTTACCGCTGCCGCCAAGTGTCCGTCCAGAGACAGCGGGTTGGACTAAAATGATGGAAATTATCAAAAGCCAGAAGAAGATGAAAGGTCTTGCTCGTCATTTATATGTTTATTTCTATGTGGCTGTCTCAAAACTTGTACAAGCTCTAGTGTTATGTTACATATATGATTGAGATTCGGAGAAAGACTTGAAAGGATAAGGCTACGTGAACCTTATGACAAAGTCTTGTGTAGCTGCTGTTTTATTTGACCCCATATATCACAAATGAAATTAGACTTTAAAGACTTGCTTACTCAATCAACCTCAATTCACTCAAATGTTGAAATCAATGTTCCATAAACATCCAATGAGAAATTTAGGGGTAATTGACATCAAAGTTTTCGAAACAAAACATTACAAAACAAGTTTGACCATTCGGCTAAGAGAAAAAGAAAAGTTTTCCAAATTTGAAAAGCAAATTTTAGGACATCATTTGGGTATCGAAAGGTTGTTGAAATAACACCAAATTTTGTACACTTAAACCTCTATATGTGGACGACCCCTGTATCAAACTTCACGCAAAAAATTACGTGGAAGGCAGTTAACAAAACGACTGAATTTCGTAAAATGTTTCAAAGCAAATCTGTCTTCTTGCTTACCTTTCTTTTCAAAACATTTTGCACCATGAAATCAGTCTCATTTTGGTTCATTTTTGAAACCAAGGTCCAAGAAACATTTAACAAGTAATTGGTAGTCAATTGACATCAAAATTTACAAAGCAAAGCATCCCTCAATTAGCCTAACCATTCGGCCAACACAAGAATGGGGTTTCCAGCTCTGCTGCAGTTTACAAATTGTACCATATCTCACTCAATACAACTTGGAATTGAGAATGGTCAGTGGCGTTGGAAACTAGGTTCAATATACTTCATTTCATCAGAAGAAAACATTTCGAAAATCAGTTCACAAGTAGTTTGAATTCAAGCCAAAAGTTATAGCTTCTCATGTCCATTCGAATGGGACTGGCAGAACAGAACAGCTGACTTTATCAGTTCACTGCAGTTCACACAAAACGAACTAGACAATGATTTTTATACCGTTTTAAACCTAAGAATGTCTAGTTTCAAATTTCGCAAATGGCACTCGATTTCGACTTTTGTACAAAAAGTTATGTTCAACCAAAGATACACTATTCAGGCCTTCGGATGACCATTTCCAGATTTCTTGCAGTTTCGAAAATTCTAGTTTTGATTAACCAAATGACATGATTTTCGGACAACACTTTGTACACACAATATACCACATATAACCATCAATTTCACAGCAAAATAAGTACCAAAAATTCGAAATGAAAACAAAGCAACAATGGACAGAATTTCGGCCATCTTGTTTCTCACGGTTTGCCAACATATCATATCTACTATCCAGATAAATCATTGTAACCCAATAGATTTATGCATTTTTCCTACAGTCAAAGATATGATTAAAAACTGGTTCAACTTCAAAGAGAAGTTTAGATCCAATAATAATAAATGGAAAAATTGCAAATTTTAGAAACTAGATCTACAAAATCTCAAATTTCACAGAAAATGACAAAAACTGAAAAAAAAAACCTCATAAGGAAAAAAACTTAGGAGAGAATAAAACTTTTATTAAAACAATTTAGGGAAGAAGAAACTCTCACTAGGAGATTTTATGAGAGAAGAATCTATCATTAGAAAATTCTACAAAAGAAACTAAAAAAATTAAAGAGAGGACTCCCTTTTATGGAAAAAGACCAAATTTGTCTGATCTCTCTTCCATGAAAAAGGCAGAGAAGATTTTGATTAGAGAAGTTTTAGAGAGAACAAGGAAAATAGTTCAATTTCCTTCAACTCTAATTCCCAAATCAACAACTTTCATGCATCAATGACTTGTACTATCATCATCATAGTTTATGGGAAGTGTATCCAATTTAGATGAATGTTTTCGATTAAAGCAAACTCACTGCTGAGCAATTTCAAAAAAAACTGTCAATAAGAAAGATGTATACTTACCGCTGCCGCCAAGTGTCCGTCCAGAGAGAGCGGGTTGGACTAAAATGATGGAAATTATCAAAAGCCAGAAGAAGATGAACATAGGAGAAGCAAAAGTCTTGCTCGTCATTGTTTATTTCTATGTGGCTGTCTCAAAACTTGTACAAGCTCTAGTGTTACATATATGATTGAGATTCGGAGAAAGATTTGAAAGGATAAGGCTACGTGAACCTTGTGAAAAAGTCTTGTGTAGCTGCTGTTTTATTTGACCCCATATATCAGAAATGAAATTAGACTTTAAAGACTTGCATGGGTCTTCTACTCTTTTCTGTGGCGTCCTTCTGTCACACCATATTAGACGCCTGTGGACTAGAAGTCCTAATTCCTTATTCTGGAGTCTTGTGCTTGAAAGAGACTTGAGTGAAAATTTTTGAGGTAAGCTCAATTCGTCATGAAATAAAAATTGTTGTCACTTCTCTTATAAACTTTGCAAGTGTCAAGTGTAATCTAAGAGGACGAGTGAATTAAGTTGTATAAAAACTAGATAAGTTATGGCAGATTTTATCTAATTTTAACTAACCAAATTTATCTAAATGATCACAAACTAAAGCGACTAAGTAGAAAACAATAAAGATGAGGCAAGTATAGCACCTAAATGAGCAAACAATGAGCAATATATTAAAATAAAGTAAACCAAATGAAATTGATACAAGCTTCTCCAAGATTGAAGTTGATCCATTAAAAAAGTTCTTCAAAATTGGTGAAACAATATGCCACTTTGTACAAATAAATGATTACCTTTACTCGCATTAATTTCTCCTTAGTTGAGTCAAAAGTTTTACACTTCCTATATATCTAACCTTTCCAAGGTAAAATTGAATTGCTCACAATTACAATGAAGAATTTTACAAGCTTTTCAACCTCATAAAAAACTACAAGTGAACAAGAAAGAGTATTTTTTTTTACCAAAATTACTCTAGAGAGCTTATAATTGATATAGACAAAATTTCTGAATAAGTTTAGACTTTATGGTATTTATAGGACCCCAAAAATTGGTCCAAAATGCCCTCTAATAATCAAGCATTTAATGCAGGAAAAACTAGCTGTTGAAACTATCACATTTCTGTTCGTTATGCTAGCGTTCGATACAATCGTTCAATCAAGGATGAGAAGCTTTGTTGTGTAGATGTTCGGATGGCCAATGCAAGTTCTCCTTTGTCCAAGAGTCCATCTGACGGATGACCAGAGTATAGCCCTTTGTCCGAGAGATTCGTTCAATCAATATTGATATTTGCTCTTCCATGTTTGGACAGCCGATCCTTGTTTCTTGTGTTCAAAAGTGTGTCCGAAGATGGATGTAGTTCCTTGAAAGGTTGCTTTGTACGTCCAATCCTCGAAGGTCTGTTTGAAGCTGCGTCCAACAGATTGCGACACCGTTCCTTTATTCTTGCTTTTGTTTTGTTTTCTTTTCTTTTTTCCCTAGTGATTGAGCACCTGTTCTATCAGAATTCTCATTGGAAAATATTAGTTCAAATCATCATTTTGACTTGTTAATCATCGTAACAAAGGATTGAGGGACTGAAGTCTTCAAAGTTATTGGGGATTTTGTATTCTTAATTTCTTAGTAGACATATATTTGGCTATTCGATGTAAACCCATTGGGTTGAAAAATAAGATGTGCTCCAGCATCCCGTATTTGTTCATGGTAATTAGGAGTTGTGGGATCATACCGGTGATGGTATTGAGGTATAAGACGTATTAAATATCTTTTACTTATTGTTTTAGACGTTTTATCTACTGTAATTCCTCAGTTGATAAAACTTGAACATTTCACTTAAAAAGACGCTTGGCTTCAATTCACTAGCACAAATTTTGGCCTAATTTCCAAGGATGATATACCTCCGAAATGGATAAATTAAGCGGTCCATTTAGTGAAAAACTCGTACGACTTTCATGACGTTCGTGGATGGCTAACCTTTCTAAATCCAAATCTAGCGCTTTCAACTAAATGAAACTTGTGCGGTCTCTGCCAAAATGAAGGTACCAATAATCTTTAAAGTGAGGCTGGGATCATTTTATTTTTCATTGGTTACTTAAAAAAAAAAAGAATTAAAGTTTGAAGTTTCGACTAGAGGATGGTTGTCCACTTTCCACTGCTAGTTTGTTTTAGACGTTTTATCTACTGTAATTCCTCAGTTGATAAAACTTGGATATTTCACTTAAAAAGACGCTTGGATTCAATTCGCTAGCACAAATTTTGGCATAATTTCCAAGGAAAGAACTAATCAAGTGTAAAGTTATAAGCTAAACAACATGATTAGAGGTTGGCTCTGATACCACATATAAAACTAATTATTTACACATGAATGTACTAGGCAGCAGAAATCTAAATAACCTTACCTCCAACGATTGTCATCAAGTACAAATTAATCCCGTATGCCTCCTTTTCTCCTTGCCTCCTTATCTATTTTAACAACATAAAATATGTAAAGAAGAATTTGGAATGAAGGAACTTCTAACCTATGTCTAATCAAAGAGACTGTATTGTAGATGGAATATCACGGGCTTTTTTTAGGTTAGGTTAGGAACCCTTATTGGTAAATATCAAATCCTTGGGGTTTCCTTCTATCAAGGAAATGTTACTATAAATCATAATTTTAGAATAATATATATGACTAATTGATGGATTTGATTAATTGCAATATTAATTAACATAAGATATTAATCAATCATCTTATATTACTAATCCCTTACAAGAAAAATGAAACAACGAGGCTACTGATTCTTCAAACTAAAACGAATGTAGAGGTAACAATACTAACCCCTTACTGGCTGACTTAAGTTACTAACATTATGGGCCGAATCCAATGTGGCCAACCTCACTAATTCACAATGCAACTTATTATACTAACCAATATATTAATGATGCATGGCCTCAACTAACATATAACCAAATAAACAAATTACTAAGTTTGGTTTATATTATCCCACAATGCCTCCCTTAAACCAAACTCCTATAATCTTGATATATCCAACATCTTCGTCAACTTGACAAAAGTCTCCATCTTCAACGCCTTGGTGAAAATGTCAGCCATTTGCTCTTTAGTTCTGCAATAATCAACTTGAAGCTCCTTTCGAACCAACTCACGCGTGATGTGATATTTGATATCTAAGTGTTTACTGTGCTCACGGAGAACCGAATTCTTAGACAATTCAACAGCCAACTTACTATCACAATAAATGTTCGTAGGACCAATTTGCTTTTGCTGTAGAATGCTAACTATGCGATGTAACCATAAAACTTGAGTTGCACTATTAGCTACTGCAATATACTCCGCCTCTGTAGCAGACAATGCAATTATCTGTTGTTTCTTAGAACTCCAAGAAAACACTCTTGAGTCAATAAAAATGCATGCCCTGAAGTACTCTTCCTCTCAACTGTATCACCTACCTAATTACTATCTGTATAGCCAAACAACTCAATTGGATCATTTCCTGAATAAAAATACTATCACTCTGAGTGCCTTCAATTCACCCCAAAATCCTCTTAGCCGCCTGCAAATATGATTGACTTGGATATTCCATGAATTTGCTAATTAATCAACCCAACAACAAAATTGGTCTTTGGTCTCGTAGATGTCAGATACCTCAAACTCCCTACCAAACTTTTAAAGTAGGTAGGATTCACATATCCACCAACATTCTTCTTGGTCAAGCTCATGGAGTTAGAATTGGCTTAACTGCATCCAACTTGAACTTCTTTATGATATCACTTGCATATTTCTTTTGAGAAATAAAAATCCCACTATTAGACTTAAAAACTTCAATTCCCAAGAAATATGACATAAGTCCCATGTATGTCATTTCAAATTGCTTAATCATAGACGTCCTGAACTGTGCAATCGTTTTCAAATTATTTTTTGTAAAATCATAGCATTTACATATATGCACATAATAAGAATATCACACCGCAGAAGATTGAAAATATAAAATGTGCTCATATAGACATTTCTGAAAATCACGAGCAAGAAAATAAGAGTCAATCCTCGTATACCACTGGATTTAAACTTTGTCTTGTACACCGACTTCACTCTAATGATTTTTTTACCAGTTGAAAGAAAAGTAAGTTTTCAAGTATCATTCTTCTTAATTACATGAATTTCTTTCTCCATTGCTTTCATCCAACGATCATCATGGGCTACCTCCTCATACATCATAGGATCACAATTTGCAAACAAAGCAAAATTAACTATATTTTCATCGGAAGGAATATCATCTGGTATAATCACATAATCTTGCAAATGAGCTGGCATCTGTAGCTGACGCTGTGGACGTCCAATTAACTCAATCTTTGGACCCTGAGCAACTGGTAATGGCTGAATATCATTATTAACCTCCTCTTATTGATAATTTACTGTTACCGTGACGCCCCCACTTCTGCCAAGGGCGAACCCATGGGAATCAGTGGAACGCCTGCCTAGCTCTTGGCAAGACTCAATACGAATCCAATTCAAATTTAAGGATAACAACCAAAGAATAAAAGTCGAAATAAAGAAAAGTCACTTCCTTAAATAAACTTTCAAGTTTTACAACACAAGTTCTCAAAAGTACAACAGCTTTCCCAAAATATAACCATTATCAGTCGACTAGTCAATTACACCCCAAGATTTTTAATCAAAATAGTCAAGTCGACTTCCTCAAAAATTCTTTCCAATCCGAACTCCTGTTAAGGAAAACAAAACTAATGGGATGAGCGATTTCGCTCAGTGAGACCAAGAAAACATGCAAACACATAGTTCCAATAACAATAACACTTACACGGAAAGTAAATCAATAAAGTTCAAGTAATTCATAATTTAATAATAAACACACTTAATAAGGATACAGGAGCTCTCAGGAGCTATATTCCACTTGCTTTGCCGATGCTCGATCTAATACCTCCACGTGATGACACTCCGTCAACCGGGTAGGTATTAAGTCCGTAGAACTCCGCTTATTTTGTACGCCCGTTCACCTTTACACCCCCTGCTCAGGGCCCGCACTTCTTTTATATAAGGCAATACTACTAGAGTATGCCAAGCAAGATCTCTCAAATAAATCAAGCTTATGATTTTTTTCTCATGGCTCACCAAGCTTCACAACCAAGCCCATGCCGGCTCGAGTCGTAAGGTCGGCCAATGAGTTTGGGGGTCCCCCACTATTATAATATAAGTCGATGAGATTCACTCCAATCGACATATGCAAACATAGCATAATTCACTATTGTAACACTTCATTTACTTCACTTAGCAAATTCACTTCATATAATTCAAATATAATTCACT